ATGGAGGATTTCATCACGAGCTGACATCAGTTAGAGAACCACTGGAAAACCTGGGAGTAATGGACAGCTGTTTCGTCCTAGTTTGTGACTCTTCATCAGTATGCACCCACTGGGGTTCGAACCCAGGACCCCAGTGGCTCAATGGTCTACGAGCTCGCCTTGTAACCAGAAGGTCCTGGGTTCGAACCCTGGTGGGTGTATACTGCCGAAGAGTCCCAGAAGAGGAGAAACAGCTGTCCATTACTCCCAGGTTTTCCAGTGGTTCTCTAACTGATGTCAGCTCGTGATGAAATCCTCCATGCAATCAAATATTAAACAATCTTGGTAATACATATTTTCCATTAAATTCACTCCAGTTATACCCTGAAATTGATAGAGTGAATCTCCAATTTTCAAAATAATTTAGTAAATCAATCAAAATAAATGGAGTGGAAATTTAGGCATCTTTCTAACTCATGATGATACTCACTAGAAATATACAAAGTATGTATACATAAACCTCTTACATTGAATGTTCACTTAATAAACCTCCACACTTATCACTGAAAGTATGCATTAGGTATGTCACATTACTGAAAGCTATACACTATAGAACAGTTGTATGAGAAATTTTGACAAACCAATATCTGGAAATGTGGTTAAGAGATCATGCCTTTCTTTATCTTAGTTTTTTCACAGACCTAATACAAGTAATTGATCGAAAGTTACAGTGGTAAAAACCTCTAATCATTTTATATCTACCTCTATGATTATTATCATTATTGTTTCTTTTAATTCCTAGAGGAACATAGGGCTTCAGCCGCACGTCTCCATTGGGTTCGGTTCTCTGCTGACATTTTCACCTGGCTCCACGTCTGCCCATATGCTTTCATCTCCTCTTCACATGACCTCCTCCATGTCACCCTCGCACTGACGACCAACTCGCCGATTCCTGTTCGGGTTCCACTCGAGCGACGGCCTGGCGTATGATGTCACTTGATGGTTTTCTCAGAGTATGGCCAATCCACCTGCATTTCTTCCTGCTCATTTGTTACACAATCGGTTCCTGCTGGGTTGGTTCACTCCTAGAGATCCCTCCCAGTTGTTGATCTTTTTTGACTGGCTATCCGATCTTGAGTTGTATTGAGCGAAGACAGCTACTGATGAAAGTCTGTAGTTTATTTGAAGTGCCCTCTGTGATGCGCCAAGTCTCTGATCCGTAGAGTAGCACTGACTTTACATTTGAGTTGAAAATCCGGATCTTATTTTTGATGCTGAGTGCTGTTGATCTCCACATAGACTTGAGAGAAATGAAAGCTTGCCTTGCTTTCCCGATCCTCGCTTTGATATCCTCGTCAGTTCCACCTGCATATCCACATTTAGTAGGTATATATCCCGGTCGAAAAGTATAATGAAGCAAAGTGCTACACAGTACACACTTTTCCTTTGATGATCGACCTAATGTTACGCCGAAGCTAAAAAAATTATGTTGTACTTAATTAAGAATGAGATATGGAACTAACCTGTATGTTTTTCAAAAACTATTAAGTGCTGAGTGGTGAAATACAGGCTTTAACTATGGGATAACAATAAAATGAGTGCACTTAATCATTATCATACGGAACAAAGTAGATGTTCTACTCGTCTTCATCTTAAATAAAACCCAAGAATTTCTATTGCCTGTCAGTTTTCTCCATTCATGGGTTTTCACTGACTAACATCTCTTGATATATGACCTACCAAGTGTGTCAACTAGGAATACAATAGATTCCTCAATGATTACGTTTGTTTTTAAGCATTAATTTGGAGGGATTTGATTGGCTTCAAGTTTCATCACGAACTGAGTTAGTTTGGAAAACCGTTGGAAAGCAAGGACTACAGGACGGCTGTTTTGTTCTCCTCTGGGCCTCCCCCCCCCAGAACAATGCCCCCACGACCCCATTAGGAATCAAACTCGGGACCTTCAAATCACAAGGTGAGCTTATTGATGATTCATAGATCACCAAAAATAAACTTGTCTGCTAACTTGAAGGTCCTGAGTGAGTAGTAAAAATGTAACAAAAGTAAGAAAAGTGTCAGTAGAACTCTTCAATCGGTTATTATGCAAACTGTATATTACAGATCACCATGCAATTCGGAAATAAGTACATGAATGGAGACAAAATGGAGACAAGGAAAACAAGTAAGGTAAGACAATGCAACGCAGCATCTATGTTAAGGTTCAGACACTGATGCTACCAATCTAACCGTTAGCACACAATGGAATAAAACTTGTGAGACAAATTCGTAAATCGAACCCTTATATGTACATAAAACGGTAGTCACACTAAACCCACATGATGGCATTTCCAATGAAATGTGAGCATATATCCCTAACGTTATTTTTCCTCTGTGTATCAGTGTCACTTGTTATTGCTTTTATCCTATTGTATTTCATTTCTTTTGAGTCTTCCACCACGTAATAAACAAATAATCCATTATCACTTACATTGTTCGTACTGTAATTGCTCCGTTATTACCTACGTGGTCCCATGAGCTTTGGATTGTTCCTCAAAGCTTCTTAGTTTATTTTTATTCAGTCTGTTTACAAGTAGGTAATTCGTTCTTAATGTTTCCCTTTTTCATTACCATTATCATCACTAACATCCATATCAAGCTTCTCACTTAATTACTAACTATTCTATTTGAAATGCGGAATACATTTTTAATTGATTCGGTTTACACTCCCAACTTACCGCCTCTCTTAGATCTTCCCACAGTCTAATTAAGCCTGTCCAACTTAGCCATAACTCATTCTATATATCTGTTTGAATCACGTATTTATGTATGCATATATTCATGTATCTCTGTGAAGTAACCAGTTAAACTGAAATTCTTGACGTTTTACCATTAACTTCAGTGGTCTGTTGAAGACTTGTGTGGATAATAAAGAGTCTCCTCAAGGCTGTATCGACTCTTCCTTGATGTTTTGAAAAAAACGCGTTTTTAATATGAGAATGCTTTACCAATATAGTTAATATTATTCCCCCCACAGTTTATTCACCTTTTCTTAATTCTGTGATCACTGCTAACGACTCTAACCAGAGAAACACCGTTTTTCAGTCACGTGAAACTGTACTGGAAACTTTACATCATACCTTCCAACATCCAAAGGCTATGTCAAACAACCCAACAAATATTCGTAGCCATAACTTTGACAACTAAGGCTTTAGATGCAAGCTGTGACTCTAGGACAAGTAAGGTTATTCACTAGACCCCAACTTGGTTGACATGATGAATACACATAATTTACCCTACAAATACCAGATTCTTTTGTTAGTTGTCGTGGATGTTTTGGTGTAAGGATAGCACTAAGTTCAAGAGCGGAAAACTCACTGCTCAATTTGATCTGTGTGCTTTCCGACTGAATATATGTAAAGGAATATTTAAGGTAGTAAAACTCGTCCATGGCTTCCATAAACCCCGCTCAAGCACCCATTGATTACATCTCTAATGAAGTGAAGGACATGTTTTATCGGAACCTTTCAAACTTGGTGATAAAATGGAAATGAATAATTTTAATTCTTTAGTAAGGAAGTTAAAACAAACAGGAAGGCATGTTGTGGATGTCTTTTGGTTCCAACACTGACAACTCAACAATGATGATCGTCTCCTAAAATTTTTCTCATGTAATGAACAAACACTAGACACAAAGCAATCACTTTGCTAAAAAACTATTGACAGAATGTAACCATCCATTTTAGGACACTTTCGTCATTTTCCATTATGCACTAGTTGGTGCACTTATATGCCTGCAGCTGAACAGACATAAGGGGTTAGTGACTGCTAAGTCTTCACGTAAGATTTATTTATTTATTTAAACGCATAAAAAACTTGGTACAATATGGCACCAAGAAGGATGCGCCACACAATAATAATAAAACAACATAGATCAAAAAAAGGAAGGAAGGAAAAGAAAATATATACATATATATATATATATATATATATATATATATATATATATATATAAGTAGAGAACGGATAAAGAACTTCATCTGGAAGAAAACACTCATGCTTAACAAGTTCAAACAGTGTTCGTTAACTATTATCGGGAAGGGAAGAAAGAAGGAAATCGCCACACATTCGCCATTGATTACGATTCTTGGCCATATCCGATAGCGTTTCGAGCCATTGATTTGAGCTATCTCTCGGACCCCAACCAGGGAGTCGTGACACACCAACCGATGCTAATCTAGCGCAAAAATCCTTCATCCCACGACGCCACGTCATGGACTGACCACCTCTCCGCCTTTTCCATCCCGTCCCAGGGCTAGCGAACAGAGACCTGTACGGGAGCCTCTGGGATGACATTCACAGCACATGTCCAAACGACCGGAGCCGGTGTTTCAAGATGACGACACTCAATGAATGATGATCTCCACTGTGTTCAAACACACGCCGAACCTCAGAATTACTCACGTAAGAACATTAGATACGCATTTAGTGAGGAGGTAAACATCTGACTACGACTGTAATACATATTCCAAAGAAGCCTGATACTATCACCAGTAGTGAAGAAAGGTGACAACCTGCAGTCAAAGACTAGAAAATGTTAGGGAATATTTGTAGCTTCACCTGAATTGACTGGCCCCGGTCGGCTGCAAACATGATGAAAGTTACTGAAAAGTAAGCCGACCACTACAGGTGTTTACCAATGTTCATCTAATCACACCTTCCCATTCACCTGTTGTAGTTTCACTACATTTCCATAGCCTACTTCAATTTGTTTTTGTCGAGATTCTGCAACATGAAATAATACACCTTTATGAAAATTTCTACAGTGTTAAACCAATCATCCTGAATAATGGGGAAGGGATATGTTGAATTCTTAAGTATTTAGGTGCTGTGTGATAAGGCAAATTTGATTTCATCACTATACACCACAACTAAATGTCAGACAAAATTAAAGACAATATCTAGCGTCATGTGTGTAAAAAATAAACCTTTAAGAGAGACAGTAAAAAAGATCTGAAACTCACTTTAGGTATGAACTCATCATCGGAATCACTAGACTTTACTTCTTGAGTGCTACAAACAGTCCCCGTTAAATTGCCCACTTTTGTAATAATTTCATTCCAATCTAAATCTGCTTCGCTTCTTGCCTGAATCGTAAGATGAACGGTCTGCAAAACGAAGAAAAATAAGTTTTATTCAATAAAGAACAAACTTAACAGTATAACAAGAAGGGTAAAGAAAACTACTTTATGCTGTTATTCTGTTATAAATCACACTAGCAAGTAACACACAAAGCATGTATTTTGATGGGAAGCTAAATGTCAGAGTTGCTCAAGTTTGAAATTTCGAAACAGTATAACGTTGCAATACTTATGTTACAAAATGGTACACACATACTACTTTGATTAAATAAACACCATTATGATCTGCTGTGTATGTACAACCAGAATACTAAAAGTGACTGCATATTGATTAGAACTCAGCTTCAGAGAACAGACTGCTCATACACCAGGCCATGGGCCACACTTACTGTGTGAGGATTGATGATACTAAACAGGCTCAAATAAGTGGAGCGGGATTCATACCCCGTTAATGGTAGAATCCTTAAACCTTTGACCTGCATCTCAACCTTGTAGGTACAACTGACCAGCCTTATTAAACTGGAAGATGGCTTATCAAAATTACTACAATAGTAGTACATCAACGAATTTGGTATTGACTGAAACGCTTCATATTTTCTAAGCCTATTGGATACACAAATATAACTTGGAACAGTATTTCGTGAAACTCACGATAAACAAATGCTTCGATTTCTCAACCTAGTGTTTCTGAGAACACTGCTAGTTAAACTTCATAGTATATTAGTTAGCAAAGAATGCAAAACAACAGAACTTAGATCATCTTCTAATCTGGCTTCCAATAAAAAAAACTCAGATAAGTTTATCAATCATAAGTTTTACAGTTGCGACACATTGGATTACGCAATTGCTTACTGAACGAAAGTTTAAGTAACCGAAAAGCATCACCAGCCCTCACACAGCCTGGTGACATAAATGGCACTACTCTCTTTACCAGCCTTAAATTGTACTCAATATACTTTGCGCTTTTCTATACTGTAATATATAAAGATTTGTCGGCTGAACTACAACACAGTTTTTTGTACACGTTTCTCCCATACATGTCATTCTTCATTCTGATGGTGATGATAATCCAGTGTTCAACATTTTATTTGAAAGGTCTGGACTCATTGCGGTTTAATGAGTTTAAAAAGTATCTCAACTATCTACTTAAACAGTTACATACGATTAATGCATTAGCAGACATTATGGAGATCAGTATAAAAGATATATCAAGCGTATCAGTTAACTCTAACAATTTGATTTGAATGCACAAAACAGTTAACCACCTACCCTAATTGTGCGTTAAAATTATGTATTTGTAGAAAAACTATGCAGTGAATGCGAATTACTTGATAAAATGTAAAAAGTAGACAATTTCGAACTAAATAACCGTAGATGCGGAATAATCTACAGTGTACCAACAGGAATATAAAGCAATTCGAAAAAACTCAAATACAATATCATTAGCTTACTCGACATAACCGTTTCACAGAGTCAATATGCCTTGCACATGCTATTTTGAAACTCTCAGATGACCCTTCTCCTTGCTGTTCAAAATGGAAAAAGTAAAATACCCGATGGGAAAGCATTAAAATTTAGTTTATTTGCTTAAAAGTGTAAGAAGATGAGTCAAATAATAAACTTACACTATCTAATGATAAGCAGCAAATTATGCTCAAAACATAAACAGAAGTGTAGCTTTGTGGTAAATCAAATAGACGAACCAACACAGAATTGAATGCTTACATCTACTCCTAAGACCATATGGTCTAGATGCTAAACGAATTCAACTGGAATATTTAACTTTAAAACCTGTTACCATATCCCACTTACTGCAGACAAACAGGAAAGTGGACGTGGCACAACCTTATTTCATCTTCACGAATTCCGTGTTCTTAAATAATTTTAAAATAAATATTCACTGTCAAGTATATAAAATCAACTCCCTGTTTTGTAATGCAAGTGTCAGAGCATTCAGCACAACTGAAACAGGCTATCAGTGACTCTGTGGATTAGAAGGATGTATACGTGATTGATTACAATCCTAGCGATCAGTCCTTTTGCTTAAGCACATATCATTGGCATATACATGCTTAAAAATAAAAGTGACAGCATACCATAGTACACAACAGAAGATATATATATATATACTATTAAGCATAATGTCTTAGTAAGGAAAGTATGAAGAGCTTCGTTTCATTAGACTCAGTCTAAACACAGAGGAACGAATTTATTTTTATGCTAACTTTTTCTGTGCTTCTCTCAACTGCGAAATGACACCCTTCTTCAGTTAGACAAAATCTCAAAGCGTATTTTAAGTATAATTTAAGCAGTAACATCTTCACATAAGGGAAATTATCCAAGAAAAACTAATGAGTGAAAATGTGCAAATTCCAAACACACGGATAAGAGATACAAGGAACTGTGAAAACCAGCATATCTGTATTGTTTTATAAACTTGAAGTTAATGATTAAAAAAGGCACAAATTATATAGGTTAACTGAAAATTCCCAAACTTGTATATTTTCAAACAGCCTATATATATTGTATACTTCTATGTATATTAATAATAAATACAAACGTTAGAAATTTTCAAGACTAGGTCCAGAGACTTGAAGACAAAAACCAACAAACTGTCAGAGAAGACATGACTCCAAGTAAACATGCACTAAACGGAGGTGATGAAGATAACCAACCAACCAACAGCAACAACAACTAGCACCAATCACCACCAACGGGAGAGATTCAATAGAGGTTACTCCCTTCACTTATCTAGGAAGCATCGTTTCAACCACAGGAGGGAAGGGTGATGTCAAAGTCAGCCAGAATCGGAAAGGCAAGATACGCCTTCATCAACCTGTAACCAGTCTGGAAATCTTCTGCACGCAGCAGCATACACAAGATTCGAATTTTCAACAGCGATGTGAAGTCAGTCAGAAACTTGCACTGCGTGTCACGAAAAGCATATCCAACAAGTTACAGACTTTTACCAACGGCTGCCTTCGCTGGCTCCATACCCCAGATCAAATGGTCGGAAAGTATCAGCAACTAGAAACTGTGGCAACAAACCAACGAAGAACTTATTTCTCAAAAAATATGTAGGAGAAAATGGAGATGGATCGGGCATTTGTTGAGGAGGCTGTCAAATGACATCGCAACCGGCCCTCGAGTGGAACGAGTGGGTCATCCTTGGGTAACATGAAAGAGATCTTGTGGTGGGGAGGAGATGAGAGATTATGAGCAATCGTGGACCCAGCTGGAGAGGAAAGCATCAAAAATTGGAGTTTTGAAGCCATGTGTTCAACTCTGAACCCAAAAGTAGTATAAAATAATACCTATTATGCTAACGACAATATCTATAACTAGCAATTCCAACTTGAATAAATACACAAGCGAAGTAACACCCTATCATGACATTACATGACGGCGACGGAAAATCTAATTATATTCGGGCTCACAACAGATAAATCACACACAAGAGCTGATTTTTGAAAATAATTATGAGGCCAAAACGCCTCTAAATATCGCTCCAAAGTTACGAAAGCATGCATAGAATATGAACGTCTCATAGATAATTACACCTACCCATGCAATCAAAACAAATTTAGCAGGAGCCGAATTTACAGTTACGCGAACAAAACCATATAAAACCCTCCCAGATGTGAATTCATTAACAAAATCACCAACATCATGACCTGGAAAGTGTAAAACACTGAATACACAAAAGAAATGCATGCATACCTTGGTTTTTAACATCCAAAGTGTATGTTAATCCCATATAACCAAATATAACCCTGAAATATTTGAACTAAGTATTGTTAGTTACCATGACCACTTTTCATCTAGCACACAGTGAACAGCTGAGCTGAGAGCCTGTCCATTTGTATTCAAATCAATAGACATAACGAAATCTAACGCTATGCTTAACAAAAGCCACGACCTTGAAACCAGCTCAGTTTCAAATAACAATATCGAAATATTCAACTCTCAATGGAAACCACATAAATTTTAAGAAGGTTCTTCGACTAGCAGGCAAGTTAAGACTTCATATGCTTCCGCATACATTTCTGAAATCTATTGTAGATAAAAGAGTTAGTAATCAATATGAAGTTTTTGAGTGTCTGTCACTGTGTGACCCAGACAAAAGAATTGTCCGTCCTTCTGTCTGGTTATGTGGTTACTTCGTAAGTAAAGTTGCTGTGATACTGCTGCAGAGGTACTGAAGCTTTCCTGACTACTTTGATAAAGTTTTTCATAAAAATCCAGACCCAACGAAGCCTTTTAAATGACGTCACGAGAATGGCATAAGGCCTACTATAACCTGTAGCCTCCCTGAATGTCATGAAATAGTTTGTGATATGAGAAGGGAGAAACAGCCATATTTTGGACCAAAACAAGTGCTTCAGTCTAGGTCTGGTGGATGATTTATTTCTCGTGTAGCGCCAACTGAGATATATATAGGTGAAAACCAACAAGTTAACGGAAGAGATAACGATTATACGACTTCGGGTGAACGTAAAGAAGAAAGCACTGATGAAAATACCCCACCGACAAGGAATAATAAGTACCATTAATGTGAGAAATCTAATGGAATTCGTCTCTTTGACCTACCTAGACATGGAATATTATTTACGCTGATGATGGCACGGGTTAATATTCCAAAGCCGGGATTGAGAACACAAGCGATGCCTTAATCTTTCTAAAATCAACCCTCATCACAAGGACAATGTCCAAATTTTCGACTTTGATGTCAATTCATCCAGCGCATCCAGACACTTGACACATACTTCCAAATGAGGGCTTTCATCAACGGCCCCCTTCGCTCCAGGCTGGGAGTCAGAAGGCTGGAAGGGAAATCTATCATGCGCTGTATTGTCAGTGAATCTATTAGCTGACACACATGCCTAATGAAATGGTGGCGTATGGACCAAAGGTCGATGAGGCCCTCAAGAAACTTCAAATATCATGCAGGTGCACTATTAGAAGTAGAATGAGAAGTGACGAGTTCGGTGTACGTCCGTGGATGCCGCGGGACAGTTGATGCGGAAAGGAAATAAAAGCTAGTGGGCAATAAAGGAGCCAGCTCCTAATCAGAGCAGCGCAAGGAGTGATTAAAAAGTCACGGTCATGAGCAGTGGTTGATTACTTGTATGAAGAGGCGATCCTCAAATTTGGTCGGAGCGGAAGAAAACAGAATGAAATCCCTGAGCTCAAATGGAATTACCTGCAACAGCATTAGTGTGACACTTTTGTTCAGTCTTCTTTACTGTTTTTGCCGGCAGTAGATTTCACAGTGCACATGTTTGAAAGTACAGGGATTGCGTTTAGCCTAAAGTTCGTCGTATGGTGAAGCTAGTGTGACGGAGTCGTCTTTGCGTTTTCATGTCCCGTCTAATATATTAGCTTTATCTGAAATAATACTTCGACGGGAAGTGCTTTATTGCATATCCCCGCTAATTGTGGCGTTCTTGTCTGTCGCTAAGTTGGTTTAGTAACAATTTATGCTTTTTATATGCTTCTAAAATGAAATTTCACATTAAAAAACTTCTGATTCACATAATTCCACAAAATTCCACACTGTACCACTAGTACTGTTTCTGGAACAAAAGCAAAATTATAATTATATCGGTGACATAATGTACTTGGACTGCGTTATATTTTCAGCGCTTGTGTCAGGAAATGTCGCTTAATACTGATATCTGCCAGCGCGACCGAATAAATATACTGGGAGATTCAAAATGTGAACTTGTATTTTTGAATTTTCAAGGAATCATGCTGGTATATTCGGCCTACTTATTGAGACGCTTTGTCTTAATTGGTTTTGTAATTATCGGTATTCATGGCTCAGTTTCAGCTTCAATTTAAGTTTCATGTACTCATAACAGTCGGCTATTCATTCTAAGACCGAAAGCGTCAGCAATAGGATCATAATATGTAGGGTTGATGTGGACTTGTTTTTCAAGTGGCCTCTATTTTGAGGGAAGATTTAATTGCTACAATATTCCGATTTCATGGACATAACATGGGCTTATATATGAAAAAACTTGTTACCTTATTTGGAATAAAGACAGATTGTTTAGAAGGTGAGGAAAACTTCATTTTTCAGTTTATTCATATAAATGCTATTGCCCACCCAGTCGCATTGCAGTTCCACATGATGCAAGAGATTATGAATGCCTTGCCCTCTCTTCTGCACAGATAACACTGGAATTACCTCACAAGACTCCATAATTTGTTCAGTAAGGACAAATAGAAGCTTTCCACTTCAGTGTTATGGGTTAATCTGTCAACTGTGTAGGCTTTTACAGTATTACATTTGGCAAGGAGACTTCATTTTGAAATCAAAAGTGTACATATTTTACTAAATCTTTTGGGCTTCCTGTATAGATTTGATTTTTGTCAAGTGATCATTTAACAACTGCTGGGTGTTGCAACCACGCTAAAATCATAGCTTGTAACTCCCAGAATTGTTGTCATTTTCATTGGTAGCAGTCGACAATCTATTGAGTTCGCACAACCAAAATGCCCATTATTCACTTTACTGAGCAAAACACTAACTGGGTTTTATGAGAAGGCAGTACGTCATTTTGTGAATTTCATCAATTCCACAGATTGCATTCTACTGAAACTAAACTATGAGGGAACTCCTGTTTCCAAGCAAGATGTAATACAATGCTCACTTCTACAACTGTCTTCCTTATTTTAGTTCAGTTTCATCTGTGCGTCGGTGGCACAGTGGTTGGGACTCTCGCTGACCATGCACATGGTCCGGGATTCGAGCCCACGCCGACGCACACCTGATATCTATGGTCGGCCTGCGAAATTTGGGCTACTGATATACACGCTGAAAATTCCATACTTGTACCAAAATACAGCGTGGAATCAAGCTGTAATCAAAAAAATAAAAATACTAATAGAACGTTCTGTTATTGACTTTAGGGACATATGAGGGAAGAGTCTTGTCACCTTAAAGTATGCTGATGGCATTGTCCACCTAGGATGTGAGAAGCGACCAGTGAAGTTGGAAGATATGAAAGGACTAGTGGTGTTTGATCGTAGATGCTTGTGCTCTATCCCCTGTGTTAATTAGTATAGTATGGTTGGTAATAATGGGGTTAAACGCATATTGTTAGGTAGAGATGTGACTCCATGTCATTGTCACTGACACGGATGCATTCACTTTGTGTGGTTTCACGTAACTAATCAACCCTTATATTTTATTCCTGTCACTATCCGTTCACTCTCACATTTCTGCTCAATAGAGCTCTATGTAATTTCCTTTTTCTTTACCTTTGTGTGCTATATGGAATGCTGTAACTTGAACAGGTGCACTTGTATACAAGCTTCTGTGTTGAAAGTTAGTCAGTCAGAATGACATGTAGTCTAGGTATAAAGCAATGTTAAAATGCGGATGATAACCACCGAAATGTCCACAAATGATAATCGTATTTCTTCATCTGGTTCTTTTATAACGGGAAAAAGAGTTATCTTCCCCTTCTTGCCCAAGATAATTTTCACACTTTGTCTCGTGAAGTCTCTTGAGTTAGTTTATTTTATCTCACAGCCAGCCTAAATACTAAGTCAAAACACATCTGATGAAATATGCTTCGCCTGCTACCACCTAATCATAATATTTTTCAAGTGTGGAATGTAACAAATGGAACTGCTGCACTTCTGCGCTGAGCTCCATGTTGCAACTCAGCCAGCATTTGTCACTGCAGCTGCCTAGTGTCACAACTCACTAAAGCGTTGATTGGCTTAAACAGTTATTAATACCGTTTCCCAAGTACTGCGTGCATTTTCCCAATTCCTTAAATTGTCCAGCTAAAGTGCAGCAAAGAATAAACCATGAACCATAAATCATTAACTTAGACATAAGAAATTCACTAGGTAACATTGCTGTACAACACTTTGATTTATCAATATAACATCTTATTCACAATGAAGTTATACTATACTGTTGTGCCCAAGTTTTATACCTATACCAAAAATACTTATCTTATGCATTATGTGTCACCTTATGGTTTCATTTTTGTCTTCCACATTGCAGGTTGTTAGTCTTCGTAGACACACTGGATGCCGTCATACATAGTATCTGCAAGCAGTCCTTCAATGCATTCATCTCCCACAAAGTTGTTGGTATGAATCCTTGAGATTATTGACTTCGGGCCGTAGTTCAATTAGTACGCTTGCATTACTGATGCAATGACATGAAAGACCTGTGCATGTTACCGTGATGTTTGCATGCATTAACATTCCCAACGTAGTAAATACAATGCTTTTGATAACAATTCGTCATTATCCTTTCATTCCGTTGATAGGTGCGTATATATTAGAAAAAAGCTAATCTAGTCGTGTAAGTTCTCGAAAATACTTTCACTAAGTGCCCATACCACTAAACCTTGGGTTAATTAATCCATGCCATTCTTTTTATACATCTTTACTAATAAAATTCAAGAAAGAACGTTGTGGATAGTTGACGTTTGAAGGAATCGGAAAGTGACGGTTTCACTGTATAGTATTTGTGCATCCCTAAATATATCTTTGAATCAGGATAGATTTAGCATCGCGCTGTTAGATTATTGATTAGTATTGGTTTCAGCCTGGCTACTAAATAAAGCTGGGTCATGCGTAGGAGTCAGCCTGTTGTGCCGTCAACATATAAGTCTATCGAGATAATTGGCAAGCAGAAAGCTAATGCATTATTTCTGCTGGAGTGCAAGAAGAAAATGAGCTCATAGTCCTTAAAGCAGTTCAAACAGCCAGTCTATTAGACTACAAAACCGAGCTAATTTCGGATTAAATTGCGATATTCAGACGTCTGTGGTAGTCGTTAGGGTTGTTGTGAGTCAGAATTCTCTCATATCATTCAGGCGATCCGTTGATTGAAAAAGCGAGAGCTG